ATTGATCAACTTAATCCTGGTCCTAGTGTATCAGGAAGTTATCAAAATCCCTCAGATATTGGTAGCTACACTGACAGAAGCAAAATCGACAGTTTAAATGACAGGACAAAATACCTGCTCCTACAAAATCCATGGAAACCGGATAAAACCTACAATTATAAGGCTGACGTTACTCCTGGAAAAAGACAATTTCTGCATGACTGGTTTAACCTCTATGAATGGATGGCCTACTCGAAGAATGAAAAGGGGGTGTTTTGCAAGACGTGTGTTATTTTTAGACCTCGTGTCTCAAGAGGTTTACAAGGAGCTTTTATTACCCGTCCATTCACTAATTACAAAAAGTTTCATGAATGTGCCAAATCTCACATGGCTTCTGAGTGGCATCGCGAGTCTTCAGAAAAAGCAAGCAACTTTATGTCGGTGATGAATAACAAGCAGCTTAGTGTCGAGGCTCAAGTGAACGACCAAGTTCAAACTGCTATTGAACAAAATAGAACCAAACTAAAGTCCATTCTTTCAACAGTGATTTTCTGTGCTACTCATGACTTGCCACTCAGAGGAAAAACTGATGAAGGTGCCGTGTTCAATGATCTTCTCCACTTCAGGGAGGAATCCGGCGATAAAGTTTTACAAGAACACCTCAAAACTGCACCAAAAAATGCCAAATACATTTCTCATGGTATTCAAAATGAACTTATTGATACATGTGCCACAACATTAAGAAGTGATCTGGTTAGAAAAATAAAAGATAACGAGTTCTTCTCAATTTTGGCAGATGAAACCATGGACATAGGAGGAACAGAACAACTATCCCTAGGTGTCAGGTACTATAACAGAGAAGAAAAAATCGTCAAAGAAGAGTTCCTTGGTTTTACTCCGCTTCAAAACGGGGTTGATGCCGAAACGATAGCAAATGCTATAACTGACACGTTGACAGGTTGGAAATTAAACCTAGAATTGGCTGTAGGACAAGGCTACGATGGATGTAGCACAATGGCTGGAGAAATTAGCGGTGTCCATAAACGAATAAGTACCAAGTTCCCAATGGCTAACTTTTATCATTGTGCCAGCCATAGGCTAAACTTGGCTATCAACGATGTAAGTGATATACCTCAAATAAGAAACACTGTAGGAACCATAAAAGAGGTGACTAAGTTTTTTAGGGAGAATTCTGGAAGAAGAAGCGTAGTTGGGACTTTGCAGAATTTGTGTGAGACCAGGTGGACGGAAAAGTACAAGTCCATCCGAAAGTTTCGTGATAAGTTTATTGACATAGTCAATGGTCTTGAAACCCTTTCAAAAGAGGGAAACAAAGACACAAAACAAAAGGCCTTTCAGCTCTACTGTGCAGTTACATCGTCAACATTCGTTGTAAGTTTAGAGATTGTGGCGAAGTATTCGGCAACATTAGAGACGGTTGCACAAATGTTGCAAGGAGTTAACGTTGACTTGATGCGTGTGGCAAAACATATTGAACGGCTAGTAGATTTGTTTAAAGAAGACCGAAAGAAAGATGAAGTCGTCTTCAAGGATTTAATGGCAAATGTTGACACGACTACAGAAGTTTTAGGCATCTCTTTGACTAGGCCTCGCACCAATACTAAACAAAGCCACCGCTCTAATGTACCATCAGAAAGTGTAGAGGACTACTACAGAAAATCACTGTTCATCCCCTATTTAGATTACCTCATCCGAGCCCTAAGTGAAAGATTCTCAAAAAAGAACCAGACTTCGTTTGAGTTGTTTAACCTCCACCCCTTAAAGATGAAGGCGATGACGAGGACAGAATTTGAAAACTCTCTGAACGACATTCTTGTCACTTACAGCAATGTTCTGGACAACTTTAAGATCGAAGGTCTTTTGTGGTACGACCTTTGGGCAAAAGACGTTGCAGACAGCGGTTCCGACGAGATTTTAAGCAACATCTGTTTAGCAGACCTCATCACCCACAACCACGCAGCATTTTTGCCAAGTGTTAGCAGAGCAATACAAATTGCGATATGCTTGCCACCAACAACATGCACAGTTGAAAGATCCTTCAGGTAACTGTTATTTCTTTTGATGAATACTAACCTTACTGTATATCTCAATTATTCTTAACGAAAAAGAGTGAATGAAAAACAAACCTTGTTTTTAAGTTAAAGATTACTTTTTCAGTTTAAGCTGAGTTAATTTATAGATAAACAAATTAGCCCACACTAACATTGTTCGTACATATAATAATTTCTAATAAGATGGGTTTTTTACTTCTTGTAATAACCAGTAGGCAACACTTTATTTAAAATATGCTCACAATTATTAAGTTTAAACTAATGAAAAAAGAAGACTGCGTTATGGTAACTTTAGGCTGTTAACATTGTATGTACCAGCCGGAATTTAATAAGTTTAAAATTAAAGAATTTTTTAAAATTTGTGTTGATATTTTTGTTTTGAGTTAGTCGTTATTTCACAATTAACTACGAGTGTAGGGTATTACAATGTTAGTTACATAACGATAGCTAACGTTTGACCGTTTTTTCAGCACAATGAGAAGAGTTAAAACTTGGATTCGGAACCAGATTGGGCATAACAGACTCAGTGGCCTTTGTCTCATGTCTGTCCACAGGGAATCCATAAACAAGAACAAAGAAGAGTTTGTAAATAAATGTATTGATTTATTCTCAATGGAAAACGGCGAATTCAGTTCTTGTTCAAATAAAATAAGTTTACAGTTTGATTTACTCATGGCTAAATTAATTTACTTCCTTAGGTGCTTTGCAGATAGTTAATAACACATTTAAAAGTCGACAAAGCTTGTATGATACCATTATTTTAAAAAGATAAAAGTAGTTACAATAGTTTGTGTGCAACATATTGTTAAAAAATAGAAACATTAAAACATATAACATTCAAACTTATTACAAAATATATAAAGGTAAGTTAATTTGTATTTATGAAGTAATGTCTATATATGGTGTTAAAGGTATTTCGTATTCTGAAAAAGAGTGGCGTTTCCCTGTATTACTTTTTTTCGGCTCCAAGTTGTGGGAAGCGCAGCGCCGCCGGCCACCACCTGACCGATGAAAATGCAGTGGGGTTGCTACGACGACGCTTCCCGATCGTGTGTTGCTCACATCTTCCGCATTCATTGCTGCACTTTCTTTATATTTAAATTTATTTTTTCTTTGGAAATGGTATCACTTATGATATCACAAAAATATGAGAAAATAGGGACAGAGAATTTATCTTCAACAAGAAATATTTAAGAACGAAATTGGCCGAAATCGTGAGTTTTGAATACTAAAATATCAAAATTTTCCCGGGGGGGGACCCCCGGACCCCCCTCTATGCAGGGGGGTATTCCATACCCCCCTGACCCCCCGGTGGGTCTATGTCTGCCGCCCCCCCCTGTACAAGTTTCTGCCGGCGCCCCTGGAATAAATTAACACAAATATATTTTTTATCGGTTGAGAACTAAGCTGACAATGACGAGAGATCCTAAACCCTTGCATTAGCGCACGGACAGGTAGAGCGCCAAGAAGACAACATTTAGAAACCTGAAACTGCAGCGTTCTATGATGAGCGTCTCTACTGTGTAGCAGTTTTATGCTTCATAACGTCGCTTGAATGTGTAAAAGAGACAAGTATATACCTATACCTACTTAATCGTTGTAATTCACTGTCTCAAAAACAATTCCTATGGTCTATTCGAACCAGCCGGTAAACAGTAAACACCTGGTAAGATGTAGGTAAGTATCAAGTACAATTCAACTTGTCCAATACAAGTTTGAAAGCGACATCTAGATTAATAATGTATGTGTAGCAGAATGTGAATAAGAATAAATTTTCAATTTATAAAATACTAGCTGTACCCGCGGGCTTTGCCCCGTTTAACTTCACAAGTGAGCCCGTTCGCATGGCTCAATCACGTTCTGGTTAAAGTTCGTTCGCTACGCTCACTCACCTTTTGGTTGCAAATTGGCAGTAGTCATAAATTTAAAAAAATAATAGTGCTGCACCCTGTTGGTAATCCTCTTAACTTTAATGCTATTGAACATCATAGAACAGAACCAACTTGTTTAATTGAAACAGCTGTTAAGAAATTCCTTTTAAATATGAAAAATCATAAGGTTAACATGGGAAACTCCAGAGCCACTGGCCCAGTGGCACTGGGGCGGAGCCCGAAAGCCCGATCAGAATAAAAACTACTTAGTTTTCCTATTTAATACCCAAAGAATCGGTGTACCGAATTTCAGCCTCCTAGGTAAATGGGAAGTGGGAGAATTAGTGATGAGTGAGTGAGTGAGTGAGTCAGTCAGTCAGTCAGTGAGGGCTTTGCCTTTTATATACTGTATTTAAATTTCTCACTTTTCCTTTTACTGTATTTATACAGTAGTTTCAAAAAACTTAATATTTCAAAACAAACATATTACAGTATTAGCTTTTATGAACCTTTGTTCTCTTCTCGCTCTAACTACAATAGATATCCGAAAGAATCCCAAATATTTCTCATTCTATCAGATTTCTTTTTAAACTAAACTAAATGCCAAACAAACTCAAGTCGGCAGGTAATAGAGCACGTTTTTAATGTGTACACAATTGTGTTGAAGGTATTTTCGATAAATGTTTTTAGTGTAGGTTAAGTTTGTTTGTGTTGGTGTACATGCATTTTACTGTTAATTATTTCTTATTCTAAACTGTGACAAAAGCTAGGTATATTTGTATACATATATGCATAACCATGCAATAAAGAACTTTTTACTTTTTACTTTTCTTGCCTACACATTTATATTTTAACTAGTCTCAATTCAGACCCTTTAAGTGACCTAAACTGAAAAGGTTTTTGAGCGGGCCAAAGTGAGCTAGCACTTCTCACACATAGCAACACTAACACAAACATAGATCGTCGTGATGTTTAGCCTAGGAGGTGTAACGGAACCATTGTCAAACTCCGCGGGACTTCAGCGACGAGTATAAAACCCATCCGTTATCAATCTCATCTTCGCACATCACCAATCACCATGCATCTGCACCCTCAGGTTAGTTACTCTATGCTTTTTAGGTTAGGTTTTGTATTTTTAGCGAATTTCCCTATAGGGAATAAGCTATTACCGTAGGTCTCATGGTAAGACTTAGTCCCGGGACCGATTTACTTTTTCATTTTGATGTTCCTAGAAGCCAAAAACACAATCCGTTCAAATTCATATATATATATGTGTGTCCGTCAGCACGATAACTCGAGCAAAAATGATCCGATTTCGATGAAATTTGGTACAAACCTGTAAACCTACGTTTATTCGAACGAGTTCGCGAGCCAGCATGATCGGACCATGGGAACGGGGTTTTATGGGGGGATTTATGGGGTAAAAATTGGTTTTTCTCATTTTTGACCCTCAAAACATAAAATTTCCCAAATTTCTTCTAGACCATTTTGAAGAGCTTAAAAAAACAAATAATTCAGTATATTGAAGTGTTTTTGTATGGTTATTGGTTACGGAGAAAATTATAAATTAAAAATTCCCATGTTATTCTTATGGAGAATAAGTAAACTTTTGTAGTTTGCTTGTTTATGCATATATTTGGATCAAACTTGGCCAAATCTATTTATTTTATACTAAGCCGTTAATATTTTACTGAAAAACACACTTTATTACCCTGTAGGCAGCAAACCTAGGTACTCGTTAAACCTAATGTTATTTGAATAGATTTAATTGAAAATCAAATCAGGCGAATGGAAATTCGCTTAGTCTGCAGGTTTGCTGCGGCGGGGGTATTTACTCCATGCTGTGTTATTTATTTTGAGAAATAATTCTCGACAGATGTAGCTTTGAAAGAAGTCAGACTACATTTTTCGCCCAATTTGTATTATATGTTTTATAATATTAATCGTCCGCATCCTCGGGGTAATTTTTCTATACATTTTAGGTTAGGATTTTCATTTTTTACTCTATGTTGGAAAGTTTTCATTGTTTACTTTTCCGCGATAATTTTGTAGCTGTGCGAAATGTTCTGATTGACTTTTCGCAAGGGGTTTTAAAATGTAGTTTTAGTTTTGCCTCACGTTAGGTTGAGGTTAATTAACCTTATGGTAGGTTCTGACCAATATTATTCTCAGATTTTAATATAGGGTACAATACAATAACAGTTTTGGGTGATCACAAATATTAGAACAGGAATCATATGGAACACAAACATATTAAACAACATTACTGGCCCGAAAGTAATAATGTTTCTTTAATATTTAAATGACACTTTTAAACAACGTAAAAAGCAGCTGCTACGGCTATTAGTAGGCCTATAGACATTCAGGCCAGTGACGTAATTGGCTTATGTTTATGTTTCATGCTGTTTCTGTTTCAATATTCGTGGGGTTATGTAAGAGGGGGTTTAATTTTTTATTCCGTGGGGGAGGCAATTACTCTATTTCCGATTTATGTCTGTTTGTGTGTGCGTCTAGGACTATCAAACTGTCAATAGTGCAAAAGAATCCTTATTGCAATGTTCTTAATCAGACTTTTTAAGGGTTCTCTACTCTTTTTAAATTGTTTTATGCTACTTTTAAAACTGCCATGTGGGGGAAAAAATTGAAGATGTTCACAAACCTCATTTGGTGCATTTTAAACAAACTTTTTGTTTTGTGGTTCAAGGGGCTTACCATTTGCCACAATAATTATTTTTAGATGTAAACATCCATGGGAATATATCTGGGTGTATCAAAATTTTCCTGGAGTTCAAAATATAGCAAAAACACTTTTAATTTTTTAATGTAAATTTCAGTAAACTATATGCATTTAGACTAAATCATAACCTTAATATACAATACATAGGTGTTTTCTCCGTAACTTTTCAGCCGTGATATATAATCAATTTTTACGATTGATGCCTCATTTTAAAGGTTATAACCTAGCCAAGGGCCAAATATGGAACTTTGGGTATTTTCCCTTAGGGCTTCATCCCCCTATCCTTTGATTTATTTCTCGAGTAGGTTTCCAGGGTTCAAGGATTGCTGCGAACCAACGCTTTATAACAGTTTTTAATGAGAATTGATTGTAATTTCACAGTTGGTTACCTTAAGTTAAATGTTAAACCACAGTAAGATTGTAAACAACTACAAGAGATGTACTTACAATCAAGACGATTTTCCCTATTCGCAAAACTGCCTGAATTTTTCTTAATGCGTGTAAGCGAGCTTTTCTGAATTATATTCAGTTTTAATCGACTACTTGATTACCGTACGTAGGACAGGTCAACAGCTAGTTCTATTTAAATACGGAATAAATTTGATATTTTTAAGGAGACATTTTAGTGTAAATGAAATCAGGCAAATAGAAATTCGCTTAGTCTGCATGTTTGCTGCGGCGGGGGTATTTTTTATTTTGATGCAATTTTGTTAAATCATGGCAAATATCATTAAAAAGTATCTAACTTATAATTGGTTTCAACTCATTATTTTAATTAACAATGGAATTTCGGGAAACATTTTATTAAAGACTAATTGTTGTTAACAAGGGACCAAATTCTACCTCTCTAACTTATGAACATAATTCCATCAAAACCCAATATGTCAAAAATATGTTTCATCTAATGGCTTGCAGGTTTTTGTAATAAAAATAAGTTAGCTGACAAAATGGTTTAAATACATTTCCCCCCCTATGAATTGTATAAAACAGGCTATTTCTAGCATAAAGTTTAATATAATTTAAAAAACTGCCTTAATTTTGATCGTCTTTGCTGGGGACTTACTGAAAAAGTCTCACAAATCCTTGAACTTCATTTAACCACATATGTATACTTAACACACTTGATACTTACGATACTTGATGATATCCCACTAGCATCGCTCCTGCGACGTGGTCGTCAAATGGGTAGAAAAACAATAAAGGCCTAATTGAACAGATCTTCTACTTTAAAACAGGCCGCTTCACATAAATATTCCTTTAACATCTTCTTAAATTTATTGAAATTTTGCTCTTGGATAATGTTCCTTGGTAGTGAGTTGTAGATCTTGACACTACTTTATTATGAAATAGGCCCCAGGTATTAAAATCAGATAAAAAGACTGAGAGCAGTTTTAAAAGTGAATATGTTATCATGATAATCAGAATCCATAGATCTATCTATATATAAAGCCAAAAGTACCCATGAACTTTTGAGAAAACTACAAGTCACACCCCCCATAAACCATATACTTAAAATGTAGGTCATGACGAGAAACCTTGCGCAAAACTATCCATTATTTCGTAAATTGCCGTTTAAGGCCGTAATTCCTTTCTAAAGGGAACTTTCCATATACCTGATGTTAAAAATACCTCAGATGTACTTATTTGTTTGCTATTCTTTTAATTTATTACCTTACTAGCTGGCCCGACAGACGTCGTCCTGTCCTATTGTGGTTTTTATGTCACATGCTCGTTCATTTTCAAGATGAGCTCGTTCGCATGGCTCAATCACGTCCTGGTAAAAGTTCGTTCGCTACGCTCACTCACCTTTAGGTTGGAGCTCGTTCGCTGCGCTCACTTGCCTTCAGGTTAGCTCGTTCGCTACGCTAACTCGCCTCCAGGCTGAAGTTCGTTCGCTACGCTCACTCACCTTTTGGTTGCAAGTTAGCTGTTCTCATAAATTAAAAAATATATAGTGCTGCACCCTGTTGGTAAACCTACTAACTTTTTAATGCTATTGAACATCACAGAATCAGATAGTTTAGTTGAACCAGCTGTTAAGATTCTTTAATTCCATTTAAATATGAGTACTCATAAGGTTAACATGGGAAACTCCAGAGCCACCGGGGCAGAACCCTTTTGACGGATCTGCACCAAACTTCACACAAACCATCCTTGAATAATGCTTAATAATGCCTGAAAGTTTCATTACAATCTGTTTTGGAGTCCATAAAGGACAAACATACAAACATACAAATATACAAATATACAAACATACATTGGATTTTATATATATATAGATTACAATCAGGTGTGATTACTTGTTTGTTTTACTGTATTTTGTTAATTTCAGGTTAACTTAACCAATCAATAGTTTTATTAATACTTATGAAGTCAAACGGGGTGAAGCCCGTGGACAACAGCTAGTTTATATCAACCACTTTGTCAAATGAATCCACTCTAACAGTCATGAAGCTACTCTCAGTGGCTAGGCTGAGACAAAGATAAACTTGAACATTGAATATAGATCTATTCACCAGAGGTTAAAGGTCACGTAGGCACCTGATATACCTGAGGCTATGAGTTCATGCTTTGTGTCAGAAGATTGGCAACAATAGTAGCAAACAATGGCTAACCTGCATTCTACTCTGATTCTGAGACGAGCCCCAATAAGCATGATTACATTGCGGTATATGATGATAGCATACATCAACAATACAATGTTAAAATTCAGTTTTCTATTTAAGATATGCAACCTTTGAAAAGAAAACATTAATACTTTTGATACTTTTCGATGAAATGGCGACCATACAAAGCACACACAAAGTACGTATTTTAAGCCAAGTATGAATGAAGATGAGTGGCGCGATCTTGTAGTCTTGTTAGTGACTAAGGCAGACATATGTCTGCTTAGACACAGTCCTTAGATGTCCTTAGACACAGCTGTTAATTGCAAAGTTGATTTCTTGTTGCTACAGCAAAACCGCTGTTATGAATACATGCACAGTGGGGTAAGTAGTTTTTTTATCCCTTGGGTAAATTAGAATAATCTGTAGTCAAGGGGAAAATGTATGCATTTATTTGTGAAATTATTTTGACAATGTACATATTTTACAACGGCGAATACCCCTTTTATTTACCAATATTTGGATTTATTTTAACATTGAATAATGGTATTTTTTTTTTCTATGGTTGAACTTTTGACTGTTAATAGAACTGGACATTCCATCCCCATGCGAAAGTAGTCACTAGTTTTCAAATCAAATTGGGCATATTTGAATTGAGCAAAAGACAGATTGCATTGATGATGTAAATTACTATAGTTCGGCCGCTTCGATAGCGACCTCCTCTAGCATTATTCCTCTAGCATTGGTTAACATTTGCGGGCAGGTCGCTATCCAAGCGGCCTCATTTTTGAGGTGTTGCCTTCCGGATTACTTAACAATATTATTCTAGAGGTTTAATACCTTATTGTTGCCACTGTAATCCACTGTCGTCTGGATGGCGACCGGTTTCGACACTCATGGTGTCATTGTCAAGCCTTAAAGACGTGTTGTCACTCTTAGGAGGTCGTCATAAACTCTTGAAAATAAATACACGAGACACGCACAAACATATTTACAAATAAATAATACTGAACCCGCAGCCGCGCCGTGAGAATTAGTGTTCTTGTATGGCCATACTGTATTATTTATTTGTAAATATGTTGGTGCGTGTCTTGTGTATTTATTTTCAAGACTTAATGACGACCTCCTAGGAGTGACAACACTTCTTTAAGGCTTGACAATGACACCATGAGTGTCAAAACCGGTCGCCATCCAGACGACAGTGGATTTCAGTGGCAACAATAAGGTATTTAACCTCTAGAATAAACCTATTTCAGTTGAATATGTGAACTTTTTAACAAAGTCAAATTGATAAAACATCTCAACAGAAAAATTTTGGTTCTTTTACAGAATTGTTATACAAACTTAAGATATAGCTATACATTTTTGCAATCGTTAGGTCGTTGAATTTATTAATTTGTTTATTTCCTCAAATTTAATATTGAAATAAAATATTGTTGAGTCATAAAGCATGAACAGATCATAAAATTGTTTAGAACTCCACCAGGATACAAAAGGATCAACTTCTTGAGATGCCGTCAGAATAAATTAAACATGCATCATATTTTCATTATTTTGCTGTTACAATACAACCCATTACAGTAGTATTACATTACTTGTATAGTACCACCACTGTGCATCTGACAGTTTATTTTTGAGTGAGTTGAAAAATAGCGTTTAGAAAATTAATCAATCATATAGAAATTATTTATTTTAGACTAAAACCAAATGGAAGATTGGATAATGGATGAAAATTTTGCACAGAATTACGGTCCAGTCATTTCACTGTCAACAAATCAATTTTGATATTTATATTTAGTCATCTTTTTTATTTTTGAATAAAATAAAATTGTACTTCTAAAAATATATCAGAAATCTTCTCGGGGTGAAGGCCTCGGACCCCCCAGGTGTTCGTTATATATATTGCACGTCCCTGTTCCAAATCCTGCGGTCGCCCATGAATGACCGGCCTGATAGTCAGACCTCTCGAATGTGAGATGGCTTGATGCTACCTCACTCGGTCAGATTAATACCTATGTTAATACTATTACAAAGATACTTATAATTAAATACATCACATGCGACAAAAGATTCTAGTACTAAATTATATCCTACTCATTATAAATGCTTAATCCTAAGATGTACCTCCTTATTCTTGTTGCTTACATCTTTCTTTCACCGCTCTGCAAACCTTGATATCCATTTGTCTTCTGTTTTTTGTTGATTTACTGTACCTGTCAATTTGATGATGGATATTTCTCTAGTTTATCCTTTCCACAGCCTTCAGTTCCAGAGTTTATGTAGACACCTCCGTCTGGGTTCTTGATCTTATTCTCTTCTGGCCTCCAACATTGTTGGTCACAGTATTGACACATTTAGCTATTGTTGAAGACATTTTCTTCACATGGTTTGGCCAGTCTTGATGATGCTTCAGGCTGATGATGTCAGTATCTTCCACGGCTCTCTAAACTTCCACGTATAACCAAAAGTCTCCACTATATTTTAGTTTTCTTAGCAAGAGTACGGTACGGATTGGGGTGATTTTGATGAATTAGCCAACTAATTCTTTGGTTGCTAAGCTTTTTTCAGGATCAAACTCCAGGACTTCTACAGATTGAACCTTATAGAACAGGGCAATTTATTTTATTCTGTCCAGTCCTAGTCCATGCACTATTGTATGAGTTAACTGATCCAAAATTTGATAAAAAAAAATATAGTAATTTGTTTCTATAGAAACAGAATTGTTGTATAATTGCTCAATTTCAATGGGATATAAAACTATTAAACTCTATTCATTAACCTGCACCATCATAGTTACTGCTAACTCCATGGGAAGCCAAGCCCCGCTTAATGGTTCCCTAAGTTTAATGGATATTTACAAAAAGTGCAATTCACAAACCGTAACTGATATTTTATAATAGATCTACTTTCATAATCAGTAAAGTGAAAATCAGACAAGATTTCTGTGCCTCACTGCCTCAGTCTTTGTTCTGTGGAAACTATTTTTGAATATGGTATTTGAAATATTTGTAAAATAATGCTTGTATCTCAAATTAGAGCATGATTTTTGTTTGGCATTCAATTTATAATTGAAATTAAGTAACCTAATTAAACTTTGCATTATATCTATTTCTCCTTTCAGTGAAAGTTTTAAAGATCATTATTCAATATAAATTTATTTATATGGTTTATTGAAGGTTTAAGGACCAGATATGAGTCTTGGTGAATTATTTCCACCGAGGGCTTTGTAAAGCACATAGCTAATCTTATGTCTAATAATATCTAATCAAATTCTCTGTTGTTGAACCAAGTAATCTTAGCCAGTAACAAAGCTGTCATTTTATTCATTCAATACTCGTTCCCTCATATTTGCTTTAAAATATGCACTTTGGTATTTCAGCATAATAAACAAAATAATCTAATCTACTATATTTACTAATGGTTACATCTTTCTAGGATGTACAGTTTGGGATTGCTTTATCAGCTTGTAGCCACACTAATCGACATGTTTTTAAATAATTTGTACTTGTTTCAGCTCATCATTTTCATTTTGCTGAGCGTCATAGTCACAGTACACTCTAAAGTGAGACCTTGTGATGCTGAAGGAAAGGACCTCCACATCCTGTCAGAAGCCAGGACCTTGAGTCGCTTGGGAAACCGTCCAGGGCAACCAATCAGGGGAGTCGCAAGTGGAAGCATAGGGCAACTCCACGGCACAGGAGGATCTTCGAACGGTGGATCCGGCATAATCCATGGAGGTAGTGGCTTTAGCAATAATCAGTTTTTAGATCAATCAAAAAGTAATCTGTTGACACAAAGATTTAGTAATCTAGCTCACAAACATGGGATTGGTATAAAAGGCGGTGCTAATGGAAACATTAATCAGTCTCAATTAAATGGAGGAACTGTAAGTGCATTAGCTGGGTCTCCAGCAATTTTGAATCAAGGAACCTTTGGAAGTGGATTAGCAAGCTCTCAAGTTACGGGATCAGGAGTTTTCGGCCACAAGCACAAGCCTCACAGTGTTCCAGGGAGTGCAATAGGAGGAAACTTACACCATTCTCATCATCTTCATCATCATGGAATTATTGGGAGTCAAATTTCTGGAGGTGGAGGAACTCTTGGTCACCACCACTTGAGTCAAGGATTTAATTCTTTGAACGCAGGATCAGGAGGTGTTTCAGGACTCGGTCAAATTGGAGGTCACCTTGGTGGCTTAGGATTGTTTCAGGGGAGTGCTGTTGGTGGTGGAGCAGGAGGTACCATGGGTCATTTTGGTCTCGGAAATAATAGGCCACATCTTGGGCTGATAAACAGCAACACAAATCAACCAAGCGTATCGAACAACTTGATGAACGTTGGGCCACAATCGACTCTCAGACCTACTCAGGGCCAAGGTTTGTTGTCATTTATTTATAACCGACCTGGACTAGGGGGTGGAATATTGAATGGGAATGGGCAAAGTTCAGGAGGTATTTTTGGCCAAGGTTTGGGTCTGATCCATAATAATAATGGTGTTAACCCAGAAGATGGCGGAGCTGTTAATCAGTACGGGGTCGGAACTAACTCTGGACAAACAGGCCATCAAGGAGGTTTGGGTCTTATACATAACATTCATGGTATAGGACCTGGAGTTGGCGGAGTTCATCAGTATGGAAGTGGGACTAGCTCAGGGCAAGCAGGCCATCAAGTAGTACATATAGGCTCACCTGGTGGCTCAAACTACCAGGGCGGAGGTGGAGTTGGTGCTGGACATGTTACAAATCATTTACACCAAGGAGGGATAACTTCTCAAGGACAATCATCAGCATTTAATGGTGGTGGAGGAGTATTCTACGGACATCAACGTCCTCAAGGTGTCGTGTATCAAGTTCACTGGAGCCAGCCTGGAGGATATGGTGGTACAGGAGCTGTGAATTCTGGCAACTCTTATTACCAAACCCATCAAGGTACAGCAAATGGTGTCAGTGGTAATCAAAACTTAAATGGCAACCAAGGTGGTCAAATTCAAATTACAAATGGCTATAATCAACTTGGCCAGACAAGTCAGATTCAAGGTTCTTTTATAAATGGTGGTGCCAACCAACAAGGGACATTGACCAGTCATTTAGGTAACTCTTTCCAAACTCAGGGGCACCAGCTAAGCAGCGGTGCAAACACACAACACACAGGAAATACAGGTTCAACTGGAAGCTTCTCTGGTTCCAGTGCTAACTCTCATGGAATTTCAGGGCAAGGATATGGTAGTTTTGGGGGACAAAATATTGGAACAAGCAATGGCATTCCAACTAGTTCTAATTCTAATACTGTTGCAGCTACACATGCACAAGGATCAAATGGCCAAGTTGTCAGTATTGGTAGTGGTTCTGCTTCAGGTATTTCCACAGGATCTTCTCAAAGTCAAGGTTCCAGTGGACAATCGCAAAGTACACATAGTGGGTTGTACTCTGGGACAAACCTTGGACAGGTCAGTAGTGTGGGAAGTGGATACTACTCTGGATCATCAGGCTCAGTCAATTCTTACGGTTCAGGAATAACTGCTCAGGTGGTAGGGGGTGGTGGACAGTACCTTGCCACAAGCGGGGGTTATGGAGGAAACAACTTAAATGGAGTTCAAAGTTCAAGTTCAAATTTGGGTCAAGGATCTAGTTTTGGAAGTGCTTCAGGGAGCACTGCAGGAGGTGTATCACATTCTACACAGAGTGGACTGCACTCCTCTGGTGTACAAAATGGACAGTTTACCACTATGGGAAATGGATACTATTCAGGATCATCAGGCAACTCTGTCGGATCACACGGTTCAGGAACAACTCAGACACAGGGAGGGGGGCAGTATTTTGTTGTGAACGGAGTTCATGGTCAAACAGGGAATTCAAATTCCCTTTCTCAAGCTTCAAGTTCGAATATGCAGAATCTAGGAAACAGTGGGAGTCAATATAGTAGTGCAGGTTCAAGTATCGGTACTCAACAAAGTCAAGGAAGTAGTGGCCAACAGTATGGTGGATATCAAACAGGAACGAATGCAGGTTTGGCAGGAAGCCAATTCCAAAATAGTGGAACATCACCAATTCAAGGCGGAGCTGGTGTTGGGCAGACATCAAGTATCGTCGGCGGCTACTTCACAGGATCGAATTCTGACTCAAGCTTTGCAACAAGTTCAGCCTCACAAACGCAAGGAAGTAGTAATCACTTGTCCAGTGTTACAAATCAAAATATTATTTCATCAAACGCAGGAGCCTCTGGGAACACATTGTATGGATTAAGCTCACAAAATAAATCTGAAGTTTCCAATACAGCAGCATCAAGTGTCAATACAGCAGGAGGGGGATCACACTCTTCAACAAACAACTACGGTGGGACTTTCTTGGTTGCCTCACATGGACATTCAACAAACACACAACCTGCTTGGCCCCAGAGGAAGCCTGTTAACCAGCCTGGGGTATTCTTTGAAGGAAATTTAGGTGTTATTGACTCTCAAGATAACAAGAAACAAAACAGCGGCATTCAGAATTCTATGTTTGCTGATGAGTACGTCGAATCCGATTCAGATGGACAAAGTGCTGAAACAGGATCAGGAACAGGAGTTTCTGGTGGCAGTGGTTCGTTTGTTGCCAGTGGAAACTTATCAGGCAACAAAGTATCACATGCTGGGGGATCATTCAGTTCAAGCTCCTCTATTGCAGGAAATCAGCAAGAACAAAACTCTGCTGGTATTGACAGCGGAATCTACCACATTGGTGCTACAGGAGGATTAGGAGGTGGCGGACAATATGCCAGTTCAAGTGGGGACACTTCAAAATTACAGAATTCTCAATCACAAGGAGTTCAGGCAGGTCACACTAGCACAAACTCTCAATATCAAGGAACTGCTTCAAGCAATTTAGGTGATAATGGAGGGGGTTCAGGAATTAGCGGACAATATACCAGTCCGGTTGGGAGCACTTCACACTTGCAGAGCTCACAATCACATGGAACCCAGGTTGGTCAAACTAGCCCAAGCTCTGAATATCAAGGAACTGCTTTAAGCAATTTTGGTACCACAGGTGGATCAGGAATTAGTGGACAGTATGCAGGAGCTCAGGCAGGTCACACTAGCCCAAACTCTCAAGGAACTACAAGCAACTTTGGTAATGGAGGAGGTTCAGTAATTAATGGACAACTATCCAGTTCAGGTGAGAGCTCTGGATATCAAGGAACTACAAGCAACTTTGGTAATGGAGGAGGTTCAGGAATTAATGGACAACTATCCAGTTCAGGTGAGAGCTCTGGATATCAAGGAACTACAAGCAACTTTGGTAATGGAGGAGGTTCAGGAATTAATGGACAACTATCCAGTTCAGGTGAGAGCTCTGGATATCAAGGAACTACAAGCAACTTTGGTAATGGAGGAGGTTCAGGAATTAATGGACAACTATCCAGTTCAGGTGAGAGCTCTGGATATCAAGGAACTACAAGCAACTTTGGTAATGGAGGAGGTTCAGGAATTAATGGACAACTATCCAGTTCAGGTGATAGCTCTGGATATCAAGGAACTACAAGCAACTTTGGTAATGGAGGAGGTTCAGGAATTAATGGACAACTATCCGGTTCAGGTGAGAGCTCTGGATATCAAGGAACGTCTGTGGGAAGTATACAATCCCCAAATCACAATAATGGGTTGACGCTAACAACATCATCCATGTCACATAAGCCCCAGTCATCCAGTTTCAGCCAAGGGAGTTCAGTCTTTAGCTCTTCAAACTCTGGAGTTACTAATCATTATGAGGGATCTATAAACGGCACAGGTGGTGAAAATCACTCCAGCAGTTTAGGAATTAATGGCAATTCTAACTCAGAAAATGGTGCAGCAATTGAAACCGAGTTTTCATCCTCAAACTTGGCTGGAGCTTCAAGTTCAACCGCTGAGGATATTTCCTCATCTTCTGAAATAGGAAATAATGGAGTGGATAATTTGGATTCACAAAGTAGTGTTTCACAGTCTATTGATACAACTAACTCAAATCATCAAGTAGCTGGATCCACTACAGATTCAACCTCAACAGGATCGAATATCCAACCTTCCCAAAGCACAAGTAGTACTTCATCAACACAGGTGTTACTTGGAAGTAATCTAGACCAAAACAAAGAAAATTCTGGAAATTACAATCTCAATGTGAACAATGGAGCATATGGAGGTAGTTCTGTTAGCAATAACCAAGCTTATAAACCATCCAGTCAACATTCTACGGCATTATTGGGTAGTAGCAATACACAGCTTGGTACACAAGAAAATTATTCTTCAATGCACCAGGGAAACCAGGGATCTTCAAACACAAATGAAATTCATATTGCTAACAATGGAGGTGAATCCTCCCAGCTCTCAGGACCCCAATCAGGTAACTCTCAATACGCTGGAGCTGATACATCAGGATCTGGTGTTTATGGCAATAACGGCAACATAGGTTTGAATAACAATAATCCTAATTCTGTACATTCATCAGAAACAAGTAACGGACAAGCGTTTGGATCACATGGCACATTATCCTCCAGCCAGCAATCTGGATCAGCACAGTTTGGCTCAGGATCATCTTTGTCTCAGAATAATCAAGGAGCCCAAAATTTAGAAGGTACTGTAGGAATAAGTAACCAAGGTCAATCTAGCGGAATGAATAACCTTGAACAATCTTACACTTTGAAACCAACACAAGGGGGAAGTTCGAATGTTGAAGGTACTTACGTCCACAATGGACAACAATCTGGAGGAAACTTACAAGTCGTAAAACAGCCTGTTGCTTCATCAGGCATGCTTTCCTCTCATGGCCAAGGCCAATTAAGCGGTAGTAGTTCGACTAACATAGATTCACACACGATGAAACACCAAGAAGGCTATGGGTCAGCAGGTTTTATGGCTGGATCAGGGAGTAACACTCACAATGAAGCCTCTCTTAGTGGAAATTCGGGAAGCACAATTCATACCCAAGCTCAACTTCAATCAGGGGCTGGAGCTTCCCTCTACAAACAAAGTCAAGGATCCCTCCAATTCTCTCAATACGTGAACCCGCAGTATACTCAGAGATACGTTATCATTCCTGGAATGGTCCCTTTCAATATGGGTCATTCGACTCTTAGTGTTGACAAAAATGGCCAACAGACAAAGTACACAGTAGTACATACTGAAGATGGTTCTTATTTCATCAATAATCCCCTGGAGACAGGCCAAGCAATGGAACACCAAGGGAGTGGAGCATTCCAAAGCTATTACATTGACCCTACTACTGGTGCTTCATATTTAGGTTATGTTGATAATCACCCTGTTTCTCTGTCGGGTGACATTCAACAGGTGGATTTGACTGGAGACATATCTGGACATTTGGGAAAGCAAGGGAATTTCCAAGGACTGTTGAGTATTCCGAGTAGAATAGTTGGAGTGATCAGTGGAGTGGGGAATTCTCTAAAGGGATTCGTTAGCCAAGGTATTAGCGGTGGGTTCCAAGGTAATGCTGAACACAACGGAGAAGTGAGTTTTGAAGGGAGTGTTTCCAACTTTCCTGCGATTCATGGTTCAATCCATGGGAACTTTGAAAACCACATTTCAGGATCAGGATCGGTGGAGGGAAGTGCTGAGAGAATGCTGCCAAAACGTAAAGTTCTTGCAGAAGCAAGATCTGCTGTACATTCTGTGAAGAGAGATTAGGCCTAATCAAATATTTTGTAATAAGCAAAATTTTCTATCTTAACAAATAAGCTTCTTTAAATTATTCGTTAGTACGGTATACCATATTGCCATTCAAGTAAATGTTTAGTATTATTACAGTACAAAATCAATTTGTAAAATTTAATATGCTATTTTGGATATTTTTGTTTGTCAAAACACTTCCTAAATGTATGATTGAATAATCTTCGAAAGGTTGTTATTTTGATGTTAGTATTAATACCTACTACTTTGGTCTGACTAATATCCGGCTCAAATGACCAAATCCTTGACAGTATTCTTTTACACCTTATTGTATATCTACCATACAATATCATTGAAGTGAACTACACTAGTTAAACTTTAATACTGAAGAATTTCCATGAAGAAATTAGTTGAGCATTCTTCATTATACAACAAAAAAATATGCCCATACCAAGTAATTTATATTACAAAAATTTGTTCGCTCTAAATGGTACAACTGTTCGAGTGAATGATTATGATTTATTGTAATAAGAATTGTTATAAAAACATAGATTAATCAAAAGTACGATTTAATGACATGTAAATAAATTTATTTGTAGTAAAATAGTATACATTTATCTCCTCTAATCCATTCATATTTACATGCAACAACTAAATGAAGGGATATTTACTAGTTTAGTCAAGATTTAAAATTGAGAAAATCTTTTACTGGCTTCTAGCATACTAGCGTCATTGATCTTCCTCTTTTTTTAATACAAATATTTGATAAGGACAACCAAGATATAAATTCCTTGGATTTGATATGATGGTATGATCAGTAAACAAATACTGTAAGACTTCACTGTGAGACTTCACTTTTAGTGGATAATGAAGCTCTTATACATTTTTCAAACATTATTGCAGCACTAACAAGTAGTATTAGTAGTATTATTTCATGAGGAATGAAACTAAGTATGGTATGGTAAATTTGTATTTACATATAAATAACACACAAATTGTAACAGTTCAAAATTTTACCAAAATAGTTATTACTCGTTGATTTTTTTTATAATTTTGTAAGAAGGGAAAGTAATTGAGAAGCTGAATATATAAGTTAAAGGTATTTTTAACATAATTTAGCGTGAAATTGTCATCTAGCCATTTTTATAATTTTTTACTTGCATAAATGTTGTGATAGAAAAAAAACATGTGCTTGTTAGCTAGGTAAGTCTGATATTTCCATTGGAAATTCATATTTTTTTATATTCAACTATGACCAAACACACTGTTTTAGAATATTTTGCTGAATTGTCCATTTCTCTGACAAAATTTTTACAAATATGATTTCAAATTTTCAAAAATCAAAGTATAAGTTTCTCTCTCGCCAGTATTGAATGTAATATGTAATAGCAAGGATAACACTGAACAGTAAAATCAAACCGACAATTGTGGTGACAAAGAAATGGCCTCCTTTTTTCCTTTGGGGTGACTCTTGGTTGAAAAGAAGTAAGTAAAGATTTTCCCACAAGGTTTCTCTTTCTTTAAGTAAAGAGACGTGAACCATTTCCAGCTTTTCGTCAATGATTAGATGATTGTTAATAGATGGTGTGACTGGATCCCATTTTGTGTCACTTGAGTCTTCTTGCAGAGGAGTTGGATTCCTATAAATAAAATTAGTTAACTGTTATTATTAACTATAGTCCTATAATTATTATATAAACAAATGGCAAAGATTGTATTTCCATAAGAATAACACAGGAACTTTAAGGGCTTCTTCGGCACAACCTTTTTGTTCTAAATCATGCTCGAAAACTATGCACGAATCTACAAAATGCATAGAATTGATCAAACACAGTATTCACTCACCCATGAATGGCAAAATTGGTCCATAAGTTTACTACTTTTTCCATCATCTCCATCGATCTTGGGTAGGAGGAGAAATTGTTGTGGTTTGCTATAGTGTAATTTCTGTAGAATATATATCCCAGTTCGTCCCCGTGACCGACACCTGAAGTAAAAAAAATATAGTAAGAAATAAAACTATATTGGCTTTATTGGAGTAAACTCATCATTCTACCATTATAGAGGGAGATATTTTGATTAACAGAGACTCAAACATTTGTTATGAGAGCCTTTTGGTGGCCAAGATAAAATTTGGTTACTTTTCCTACCCTAGATGTGTTATCCTCCTTAGTGAAGACCTTCGAGTGTACCGACAGTACAAGTTAAGATCCATGTACATGAAAATGCAATTTATGAGTTATGATCTGGACTATGTATTCGACATTCATTAGTATAATCAGTATTGACACCATCAGTCATCACAAGTAAAGATCTCTCCTATTTATTCAAAATCATTTTAAGCAAGACATGTAGTAGGTGTACATAAGAGTTAAAATTATAAATGTACTAGTACTATAAGGGGAGAAAGTAAAAAGATTATGGCCACTAATACCTATTCAGCTAATACATTACCTGACAACTTGATAGATTTGTACGAATGAGTTGCCTGAAAGTCTCCTTCAAATGTAAAGTAGTACAGATAAACAGGTGCTTTTTCACTCAGTGCCTCGGCAGATTTGAGGATGCTAAAGGCGAATGTTCTGTCCGTAGCAAACTGAAAAATATTACTATTTTATTAAAACAGGCTTACAGGTTGCAAATAATTGAAAGAATGGTTACAAGAGTCTTAAACTGAATCTAAGCTGTCATTGTACGTACTGTACCAACAATTCTATAAGCCTTCATTTGACCAAAAGTAACTTACCAAATTCTGAGGCAAATTTTCAGATAACAATAACAATGAAGTGTTTCCAGACCTACGTATATTTCTATGAACTTTTTTCTTAGCCTATTTTAGTTATAGAATCATATCCTGAGAGATTGTCGTGCTATTAAAAATCACCTTGTGTAATGAAGACATATAAATCAATATCCAGCAGTTAGGAAAATGAATTCTGATAGATTTAATTAGATACTAAACTTTACATTATTGGTAAAAAATAGTTTCATGTAAATTTAGTTTCACGGACTGAATATTCACCTCTACGAATCCATTTAGTGCTGCATATATTGAAATATTTTGTCCAAAGTAGCAGTCCCCAATTTGTGTGGCCATCTCACTTATTGTTGCATTGCTTGAGTTCTGGAGCATGTGTTCCGGCAAGTATGAGACGATTGCTTGCTTAATATTCTTAAGCTCATTGTCTGTAACAATGTATCAATAATAGAAATGTTTCTATGAAATTAATTACCTTAAAAGTGTCAGCAATAACATAAACTAGCTTATAATACTACATACCTAAAGTCGGGACCACGTAAGTTTGCAGTTGGTGGCAGCCAATCGCAAGACAAGGCTAGTACGACGTTGCCACATCGCCTGTTGACAACACTAATTAAAATACAAAAAAATATTTTCAAATCAGCTGGTATATTAGATTTGGCAACACCGCACGGTTCTCATTGGTTCATTCAAAACCATGTGGTAAATAGGCTCCTCCCTCAACTGCAAACTTACGCGGTCCCGACTGTAACTATTAATGTTTGAATTAGTTTTTACCTTTGAAATTCAATTTTCACATAAATTCATTCTTTCAACCACTAATAATTTCAAACTGAATAATCAGGAAACAATCTATAAAAATACAGTACAGTTATTTTACATTTGTAATTAGGCTATGAATTAATGATGCTATCCTACAAAAAGGTCGATGTTAGATAGTAACAAGGCCAGGGTTTGGACCGTTCCCTTTCAAACGCAAAAATTGCCACTGGCGTAAAAACACAAACAAAAGTACAAACAAAAAAAAACAGTGCACTATCATTATTAATACACTGTATATAGACACTATTATTTACTATCAAAAAGTAAACGGACAATAAAACATACTTTTTTAAAACACTAAAATAAAATTTGGAAAGCCAAAATAACTTTAATAACATCCTCACATAGTGTTTTATAGTGACCAAAGAAAGAGGTTATGGCGACCTCTTTTATCTTTCATTTCCCCGTCAACATGGGACACAAAGGCCCGTGAGTGGAACATATCCAGCAAAGCAAGGGGTGAGCCGGTATAATACAAGGGTGAACTGTACTGATAAAAAGTAGTGGCAGAAGCCACAACGTCACTGCTTTGGGCCTGAAGTCTGTAGCCACTGACTCACCAATAGTTCAAATTATAAGTTCTGAGGAACAAAAATGAGAAAACCTATTTTTTACCTCATAAGCCCCCGTTCCCGTTCTGGTTCACCAACTCGTTCGAATGAGTTAAGGAAAGTTAAATGTTTGAACCAAATTTCATCAAAATCTGATGTTTTTTGCTGAGTTTTCATACTAAACTTTCATATAATATATGAAATATATATATAATATATATATATATATATATAATATATATATATAATATATATATAATATATATATAATATATATATATATAAATTTTAATATATATTTGTAATTTGGTTATTTTATAATATGATTATGAATTTGAATGGATGATGTTTTTGGCCTATGGGGACATCAAAACAAAAAACTTAATTGGTCCCGGATACAGGTTTTACCATTGGATCTACGGTAATAGCTTAATCCCTTGATTTGCTAAAACACAATAATCATTTATACTAAATATCATCCGGCAAAACAGAACAGCACGCATACGCTTATTAAACTCAGAATTTATAAATTTACCTGTTAAGTCATTTACATACATTAGTCCCTCTGCGTTGTTGAAACCCATCATGTAAGGGACCCCACCACTCTGAGATATAAGATTCTGAGGAGAATCTGGAAGGAACACTTCTTCTCCTAAATCTGTTTCGATCGAAGGCACAAAAGGCATCGCTAATCCCTTAGACTAAACAGAAAAAGAAAACAATAGTAAATTCGGTCATGTAAAGTGTTTAACTTTTGATGATTACCTATATTTTCCATCCTACTCCCTAACTAAAACTCAATACAACTTTACTGTATCTACATTAAATTAACTAAAACTCGACATATACCTAAATATAATTATTAGTCTGATGCCTCCAAGCTGTTCTGAAACACACTCAAACTCGCCTAAAAACCAAATAATGATTTTTTAGTTTGTTTGGAACAGAATTTGAAAGGTTTTCCTCCCTTAAGGAGTTTATAGATTTGTGTTAGGCTATGTATTTCATTCTGATGACTTTTCATATTTCAATCCAATTTAGATTGTGACAGTCAGATCTTACCTTGTTAGGTTTATAGTTTCAGACATTTTAAAAGATTTTTTTTAAATAAACAGGCGTGCTGTAATGATTTTATAGTATAGGATACGTTCTAGCTCTTCACAATGCTGAAAGTACATATAACTTACATATTCACACAACATATAGTACAATACTATAGGTATTACCAATAATAAACAGTGTAATTTGATTTATGATGTTAGTTGACAATCTTCTGAATATGAAGGAAAAACTGAGTGGTAGAAAATTTGCTAACTTAACAAATCCATCAAACAATAAAGATTATTTAGTAATCCAAAATGCTTTCTTTGTTTTTAGGCTATATATAAAGCTTTGTTCAGCTTACTACTAAAGTCTTCTACAGCAGAGCTGTAACTATAAATCATCGGTTATCCGACCTTGGTTCAGATTGGTTAATCCAGAGTGTACAAAAAAGTGTTTCGACAGGTCCAACATATACAACTACAAATACCAACACAAAAATTATTGACTACCTAATTAAAGCTGTAAACAAAACATACTCCTCCGACCACTGCCTGCTGCTCCGCTAGCACTGGCCCATGTATGCCCCGGAGACAGTCTACGACCTCCTGGGGGTCGTGGGTCGGACATCCAAGGGAGTCGGCCACTTTTAGGGCAAAGGTTAAAGTGGAGGGGAGGAAACAGACGTAGCCTAGGGCAGAACCACTCTGGGTGATGGCTCTATGGAACAAACCTGTAACCAACTGCATTGTAACAGCTCCGGAACTGCAATACTGACTATGGGTTCAACATCCTGTCAGCAGTTCCAAGCGGTAACAGTCAAGGTGTTACATGTTTGGACGAGATGCCTGTCAAACACTTCCTGTGGAACAGCTGACAAGTATTGTAAAACCCAAACAAGAAAAGTGTTTTGTTGTTGATTAGATACATTAACTACGGATAGAGCTAGACATTCCATTTTTATGTAAAATTGTAGCCAGTTAAGTATTAAAATGAATGTCGTTGAACCAAGTGTGCTGATGTACTAAATAACAGATTTTATTATATTTATAGTAACATTTTAACCAAACTAAAATGAGAGGGCAACTTAGTAAAACCATCTTTCAAGTCAAATCAACAACTCAATAACAAAAACTAAAGGAGAAAATAAAGTTTTTACCATACCTACACTCTGTGAGTGTGTTGGCAAAAATAGACTACCACATCGATGGAAAGTCTAGCCTTTTTTCAAAAAGTAATGTTTTCTGTCCCTTTTTATAATAACACTGTTGATAACTCTACTTAAAGTAACACAACTCTTTTATCAAACTAATATTGTAATGTCATGAAACTATCTTCATCACAACTCAAGACAAACTGAATCAAAACATAAACAATAATAAAAATAAAGAACATATGTTAATTAATTAGCATGTGGACATTACCAAGAAATACGACAGGTGGTTTTCTGACATTTAGGACACTATTGGAGACAGGTATACTGTACGAACCTTTAGCGAGAGGTGAGATGTACAAATACATCACATCGCTACCTCCAGAACTTCCCCCCACTATGGTCACTTTTGTGGGATCTCCTCCGAATTTACTGATCTCTCGCTGGACCCACCTCAACGCAGCAATCCTGTCTTTCAACGATGCATTGCCTTGAGCTTCCGAACTGTTCAGGTTCAAAAAACCTGTAAAGTAGATTACAGATTATTTTTGTTTGTTTGCTTGTTTATTTACCATTTACTCATGTTTAATTTGATCAGTAGAGTAAAGTTGTGAAGCCATATACTGATTTTTATCAATTTTATGCAAACACAATATAGATTTCATTTTTCAGGGGAAATCTTATCTAACGCTTTGAAATATTGATGTGAGGTATTAATTCTTGATACAAATAGACAATTTAGCAATTTTAAACCAACACAGTTGATACAATTTTTTTACAAGTCTAGAAAATATGGAGTTTAAATTTATGTAAAAATAAATGCATTCTTAATGACAAAATGGTTTCTTAATATAAAAATGGTGCTCTTAAGAAATAAAAATACCTACAGCATTGCTCATTTCTTTAGGTATATATATACAGCATAATTTTATTGAAAACCGCACTAATATTTAAAGAGCCCCTGAAAATAAAGATAGAAGGAAATAATAAAAGAATATCTACCTTTAAAACATTGTGCAGCTATGACATTAATGTTAACCAAAAAACTTTTTATTACTCACCAAAAATACCCAATCGGTAGTTGATGTTAACTAGGATCACATCTTTCATCAAGAGGAAATCAGGACCATATTTATATGTTGAACCAGAACTTTGATAAAACTTCCCACCATGAATCCAAACTATCACTGGCAGTAGCTTACCATTTGGAGGCTGAAATCAGAAAAGAATCTTAAACGTTACAAATTTGATCGGGCAAGAATAATTCTAAGTTTGTAGCAATGTTTACTGGGTGCTCCTTTCACATTATACAGTTTTTGCTGTACGGTTGAAAACCGAAGAGCAAGGGAGCTTTATTAGCTGTTTTTCAGTCTTACCACTGGACTGGGTTGTCGTGCTATGGCCATGCGTTAGTGGCGCATTTACGAGTTTAGCTATGGATACACTGTACAGGAGCCTAACAGTCAGTGCAAATAGTTCAGCTGTTTTTATTTATTGTTACAGCTTGAATTGTCAATTGGACACTGTTTATGTTTATTGTGACATTGTAAACACATTCCTCTCGCCTTACTAAGACCCTTATTAGACGAGGCAGCCAAGTTGCGCAGCCAGCCGGGCAGCCAGTCGGCCAGCCAGTCACTGGGCATTGGTTCTTATGGAGCTTATTACACGAGGGCAGCCAGTTGCGCAGCCACTGTTTGGCTGCCGGCTGGTTGCCGAGCCCGGCGACCGCACAGGCAACCACTGGCTGCTCGGTCTGGTCGCGCTCCTGTGTAGCTTACGGATCTTATTACACTGGGCAGCCAGTCGCCCGCTGCCACACATCAGTAGTAGTGGAAACACACCAGTTCACTCGTGGAAGTGCGTTCATCTCATTATCATCTGCGCAAAGTTCGTCAAAAAGGGTGTAATATAATCCTTTTTCTGTTCTTGGTGAAAGAATAGGATGTATTTTATGTATTCTCCTCTTCCTTCGTCTTCTCTTTTTCATGAGTAGCAGAAGAAGCAAATATTCATTTCGCATTCTGACAGCGTCTCTCCCCAACAGAACTGTTCCACCAACACTGTTCCACTGTCAACAAAGAGACTGGCCTAGTTGGTAATTTTGTGGCTGCTCTACTGGCTGCTCTACTGGTTGCTACGCTAGGCAGCCAGACAGGCGACTGGCTGCCCGGCTGGTTGCGCAACTTGGCTACCTTGTCTAATAAGAGCCTAAGAAACCATGTTATGACACGCCATAAAACTGTAATGAATCGTCAAGAGATATGTTAGCATTTATTTCACTCTGCTAATGTTATTATGTGTGTTTGTGTGCTTCTAAGCCAGTGGCATTTTTTAAGATTTGATATATTTCTCAGTAGTGTTTATCATAACCAAATGATCAAGGCAACAGATTGAAATTGTTAGAAATACTGGCAACTTTTTTGTTGTTTTTGCAAGCACAATAAACCAGTCAGCTGACAGCTACCCAGAAATGTTTGCAAAGATTTAACATAAAGTAACAATTTTTAGCACTAGAAATCTCTGACCAAATGCTTGTACTTTACCTTTAAATAAGGTGTAAATACATTCAGATAAAGGCAGTCTTCACTGAAGGTGATGGGGTAAGGGTTTTTCCGCCAAGGTTGAAGACAGGCAGGAGGTTCCTTAGAAGCCTTCAACACCCCCGACCATGGTATGGTTGGCTGAGGAGCCTGAAAATGCACAAATTAAACATACATGCTAAACATATTCATACTCGATTTAGTTTAATTTATTATGAATATATGAATATTTAATACTGTGTATGAATATTTAAGTTAGAAGCTAATTTCGGGGAATGGTGAGTTTCTGTTATCTTAGGACACAATATTGCAAACATTTTCTATCTCCGATAAGTAAATAACAATGTTTTCACAACGTTTTGGAATCTTGAATCCGATCCTGTCCTTCGGTGGTAAGGTATATTTAAAACATTACAAGAATAGTACCGCACACAAATCCAGCCCAAGCCGGGAAAGCACAATAAAAACCACCAAAAGAAAAGTATAGTACTTCATTGATTGATCATATTAATATTCTGCACTATATTAAATTATTACAGAACCATATACAGTACTAAATTGCACAGTATACTTACAGTTACACTATAAAATATACTATTCAGTGGGTGGTTTTCATCGTGTTTTTTTATTGGGCTTGGTTTGTGTGATGTAAAAAAATTACAAGATCGCCTTGCATGTTTTGGAAATTATTATTCGATTAATTTAGTAAACAACAGCTGGCCAATGCAATTGACAAATAGTTTATTTGTTTACATTTTTGTTTACTTATTTTATTATTTACTTTTATGTTCTTAAAAGAAGTGTGGGGAATGGACAGTGAAGCTATTTCTAGCGGTTTTATACAAGTGAGTGATTAAAGGTGTTCAAAACACGATGAATTTGAGATTAACACACCATATATGTTGTTCGTTCCAAGTGGTTGTCACCGATCTTTAACAGGTCGCAATTTCATTGAAAAGTAAATTATTAAAGACGCCGTGAAAGAGAGCTGCGAGTTCAGGTACAACCTCGGCCACCTTAGGACGTAAGGTATGAAGGTTCCACTGCTTTTAACATCCTTTCAGATGACAATTTATCGAACTTGGGCCCTTTAAATGAAATATAAAGTCAAAGTTGATTAAATTAATTTAATGGTGGCTTCTGTTCACCCGTGAATTCGTGGGTAGAACCTCTTGTTATGTATTAAAACTATAGTGAGTGAGTGTTGAAAATGTTCCTCATAACATAAATATTTTGTAATATGTTCCTACATTAGCTGGTGGTTGTAATAGAGCAATTCTTTAGCTCATCACCAGGACAAGCTAAAAGTGACTCTTTTTAACACAAAGGCAAACATTAACAAAAATTATGGGATGTCTACCTGGGATCTCAAAGTCTGTGGTTGAATCTTTCTTCACTTGACTTACACTAAACCATTCCATGATGAATATTTTTATTATTATTTTACTACTAAGATCTTCCATGTATTAATACAATGACTACTAGCATCATCACAGAATACAGAATAAATTGTCATGATTAATTCACTCTAACCTTAAACCTGAGTTTTCCAGTTGGAGGGGCAGCGTATGGTATTCCCTGGAAGCTGTAGTATTTGCGACCCAAGACTGTTGTTTTGACAATTCCTTCCACACATCCTGTAGTGAGAGGGACTCTAGGAACATCTTGGGAAGTGCAGTCTGCCCTTGCCAGTCTACTGGAAACATTTAAGATTAGATTGGATTGATAGCTGCCAAGCTGACACACCAGGCTACTTATTTTAAACTGAAGATGAGTGAAGGATGAGTGATGAATGAATTAAATGACAGATTTGCTAACTAAGATCAGCTGGTTGTTGGGTCGACCATCTTTTTAAAGCCCAATTATCAAGGAGGGGACTAATTATCAGACAATGAAGAGATATGATCCTCCCACCCTCTTCAGAGACATCACATCAGCTGACAGTTAGGTCTGTAAAGTTTTGAATGAAGAGTACGGATAGACATTAATTCAGTCATAAATGACTTAAGTTGTATCACTTTTATTTCATGGAACACTCTTACCCAAAAGCAGTGCCCCCATTTTATCCTAGAGCGGGCAGGCAGTGGTTGAGGGGCACCCGGTGGGCGCCCCCAAACCTTTGGCGCCCCTGGGCATATGCCCAGTCTGTCCGTTTATAAAAGTGGGCCTGAACTAAGACATATTCCAATCCAAATATGAATGAAAGATGATTGTGAGACGATAGAAATGTTTTTTTTTAGCTTTTTTAGTCAAGACCACTTTCTAAAAGTCCTAGTGATCATGTACAGGTGGTTTCAGTTCCATATATTTATAAGCTAATGTTTTTTATCTTATCACGATTGAACAATCAACATTTATTTGGATTGGAGAGGCACCTTCGTATGTGTTGCTGTTACTATATCTAGCCACTATCTTGATAGCGACCTTTTTCACCTACTAGCCTTGTGATGTTTAAAGGGGAAGAGTAGAGAAAAGGCCTGTATATGCAAGTCACGTATGTCCAGGCCATCAATGAACATGATTTCCACCACACTACGATGTTTTTAGCCGTTTTACAAACGTTTATTGGAGGCCGAAAGCTACGAATTAATTGCTGTCCATGCCAGCTGTCATCGTCATTTGGGGACCGAGCAATGAGCAGGTTTTTACATCCTTAGGACCGAAAATCAGCTGCCCGATAACTTTCTTAAAACAATAATGCATATAAATACACAATCAGTATCCATAGCATTGTAAAAGACTTGTGTTTCATTGTCACCGCTGCCAAACAACTATTTATCATTATTTTTTACTGATTCCTCAAATTATTTCTTCACATAACCTTAAAGTTGTACTTGTGTTGACTATTAGTGTGATTGTGGTGGATAGTGTTGAGTGTTAATAGGGTGTAGTGGTTTGAAAAATAGCGTTCGTAACGCAGACCGAAATGGTTTTACAGCTCTCCATCCGAAAAACTATCTCGAGCCGGCAAAACCTCATTTTCGGCCCTAGGTACGAAATATACTATTCATGCTTGCTTAATTTGTTTTAATCAAAGTGAAGTCAAATCAAAATCTTCTAACTGCTTAATACAATAAGGATATTCTTTGTACTTGCCTTTTCCGGCCATCCTACTAAACCGATTTTTACAATTAATTGAGAGATGTTTACCACAGAGACAAGTGTAAACATTGAGACAAAACAGTTAATGAAAATAGATTTTAAATAGTCTAAAAGCAGTTAAAAAGCCTAGGTTACTTTTAGTGACAATTGTAACCTGAACGAGGTAGGTAAATCATTCCGTTTTTTTTTATATGTCAGATAAAAGACAATTTAGCTCAAGTATTTTTATGATAGTATGGAAATCAATATGTTAATATTACTTCTCAAATAATTGAAAAACTTTTTCTACAATGCCTCTCCTAATGTAGTGATTACCATCAATTTATCATTTTATCTACAAACTAGGTTATATTTCAAACAACTGAACAAAATTAAACAACAGAGTTCAAAAAATATTCAAGGAAGACAGTATACAGAATAAATACAGTGATAGAATGGATAATACTGAATTGATTTAATTACAAAAAATGAGACTATAATATAATAATATAGTACAAACCTTAAAGAGAAAATAAACCAACAAAGGGTTAAAATTAATCCTCTAAGTTGGTTCATTTCTTGAGAACTGAGTGTTTTAGGAAACGCCATTGACCTTAGATAGAGATTAGAAAAGGGGTTAAAAGGTTTTAAGATAATTATATCCAACAGAATTTGGGATGTCGGTATTCAATATCCAAAAATGATTATGGAATTAGATTTTTAAATAAAAACCTAAAATTGGTAGGGCAACAGAATTTTTGTTAAAAGATCTTAATATTTTGTATTTGAACCTTTTTGCTATCTTTAACAGCTTCCTCTTATGCATTTATAATTGGGCGCGTTCTGGGAACATGTACCGGTGCACCGGTGCAGATTAACCGGTGACTTACTCACCGGTACCGTCCCGGGGCAAGAGTCTTGGTATCCCAGAACGGTTATTCACCGGTTTACGGTACACTTCGGATTATAATTTACACATTCACCTATTATTTACTTTATAATATTTAAACCAAACAAACTTGTCCTCACAGAATAAATTATTTGAAAATTATTCACTTAATAAGTAATTTAACCCCCTCATAGAATAAATTATTCACTCATTACGCAACATAACCTATAAAACTGATGAACATTATTCGATGGACCCGCCATCTTGCCGTAGCTGCATGCTGTGGTCCAAGAAACAGACCAATCAGAGCCCGCCGGTGTATTATGCACCGTACAATTTCTCCGGTGCATAAATCATGCACCGGTGGAGGAAAAAGAGGAAATAGCTGTCTGCTAGGTTAACTCACCGGTCTCCCAGAACGACACATTTTTTGCACCGGGGCAACACCGGTGCACCGGTGCATGTTCCCAGAACGCGCTCATTGTAAAATGAAAAGTGGCCTAGCTGAATAATTAACCTACCGCAGCTGTTAATTAATAGTCCATACAGCTAATGGCAACTAAGGGACCTACAGTTTATAGTGGAATCCGAACCACATTTTACCTTGAACAATCACTCATTCACCATCAATCTTGAAACTCCAAATTGTCTAGCCAACAAATTAAAATCTTCAAGTGAAAGAGGCGCAAGGAATACTTGCTCTGGCTCATCCCATGTTGCGGCGCGCATTCCACATCACAGTACGACTGTTTAAATCTTTTTTAGTAAACACATGCCGCCTATGGAACTCTGTACGTTATCCCATTAAACCCTTAGAAAACTGATCCCGACTGACGGTGGCACTGAAAGAATATTACCTTAACCAAATGGCCATGGTGTGGCGGGATGGTGTGTAGGCCTGGGTGCAGCAGAGGGTGTATGTGTATGCAGATGGTATGTCAGGGAAAATAAATTTGTGTTATATTATTAGATTTGCTTATTGTAGACTTTTTTGTTTTATTCAGTTTATGTTATGTTATTATATTGTTGACTTTTTAGAGGTTTAACTGTAAGAAAAGGACCACAAGGTCATAAGGTGGACTCAATAAAGGGTTTTTATTTCATTAAATTATTTTAATTGTAAACCGCTTTCTCTCCTGATATATTCTGGGTGAAAAATTATCCAGTCTCTGTAAAATGATCTAATTGGATAGCCAAGTAAAGTGTTAACTTTGAAATTGAAGGAATTTTTTGTATTCTGAGAAGTTTGATTTTAGCTCTCAAGTCACCATTTTACACTGGGCCATCAATTAATTTTACTTCGTAGCAGGTAAGAGGTCAGCTTTACATATGAAAAATACCAAGAAGTGATTTTGACCAAGCTTATGGTTTTAGACTATTTAATTACCTTAAAATAAGCCAATTAAAATTACACAAATTAATGTAATCACAGTGTACATTTGTAATTTAAATTTTGTGTGATGTAGCCAAATGCTAATCAATTACGCTCTTCTTATTATGAAGCATAAGCTACCCCTTAGTAGAAAATTACTGCACCATATCATAATAGTGATAATACTGTGTAATTATTTATCCCATCCCATTTGACTACAAAAGCTGAGTATTTTAAAATAAGCTCTTCTCTCATATACTGCAATGTATTGTCAATCTAATAACCATTGTCAACCACCTAAAATACTGGTTCTTCATTCATCAAAGAATTTTATTCTAAAGCCAAATTATTTTGCTGTCAATTAAGTAATCCCAATAATTATCGACTAACAAGCCACGATACAAAAAACTACTTTATTAAAAGACATTCCTAACACAATTACAAGTTAACTTATTCATGCCGCTCTAAATTACTTCTTTAGAACCTTCAGACATAATTTGATCAAATTGAAATTCAATATCCCACACAGCATATTCCGATTCAAACTTAACCGTCGCATCGACCTTCATAAGCAAATAAGGCCTTATCATCTGAGTTATTATCTTCTGTTCACGCATTGCTATATTTTGACCAGTGACCATTGTGTTGAATAATAGTGTTACATCATTGTGAACCTTCAGTCACTATACTTGAACTGAAGTGTTCTGATGATTGTTGTGGTTACCTAGTTATTGTGACAAAGTGTAACATGGCATTTGGACGGAGGATTACCTCTACGCTTTTCCTTATTTTATTTCTAGCTCAGTAAGAAAACAGTATTTTTTATCATTGTTGTTTTAGGTTAAGTCAATTTTTTATGTAAAACTATTGTTTTGTGTACATGATTTGTTGGCTGTTAGGGCTCTTCCTCATTTTATTTTCAGCTTAGTAAAGCACAAAAATATTTGCAATTTACACTTTTTATGCTAAATATATATTTTTAGTAAAAAATATATTCATGTTTTAACACATTGCTTGTTTAATTAGACTATTTATAATTTTATTTCTAGCATGGTAAGGCTCCTTTTATACTATGTGGCGGGCCGCATGCCACTGCATTCAGCGGCAAGCGCCGCATGTTTGTGCGGCAGTCATGGCATCGGTGGAGGTATCAGGGCTACCAACTTAGGGATTTTATATTTACTTCAATTTTACCGTAATTTTACATACACAAAACTTGCAAACTGCTGCTAAGAGAAAAGAAAAGCACCTACCATAGTGGGAACAGAAAGTGAAATGTGGGGAGGCAAGGCAGTACCGTGTTGTGCTGAGTTTGTTTTGATCAGTTGGTAGCACTTGACAGCGCCGCTGAGTATAAAAGCTCCCATATAACGCAATGCACCTAGAGGCCGCACGTTTCTGCGGCTCCTAGGTGCGCCGTCGTGCATCTACCCAGCCGTGGTGGCGTGCACTGGCCGCAGCGGAGTATAAAAGCACCCATTTAACTCAATGCACTTACAGGGCCGTCGAACGCAGAGGGAGCCTAAGAAAAACAGTTTTTATCTGAATTTTTAGGTTTAAAATATTTTTAGTAGATAGTTGAATCAATTACATGCATTCATGAGGTACAGTTGTGTGCACTGAAAGGTGCACACTTATATGACTTAAAATAATGTTCACATAGTATCAAAAAACTCTTAAGATAATATATTATTTAGAATTTTGTAGATCGTTGTCCACAATAAAAGAAACCTAAGAACTAACAAATTATAAGTAACTATTAAATTAAATTAATTCTCAATAAAACAGGAGAAAGGTGAGAGAGATTCTCCTGAAGAAGGATTGTTTTTCAAGAAATAGTGAATATTTCTTCACCAGATAACCTTCTAGTATTATTTTGTGAACTACTTCACACAGCAGAGGGTAGTAAAGCAATTACCTTAAAAGTTATTCATACAAGACTTTTCAATCCCGTTTATTGTGTTTTTAACTGATACTTATGTTTTTGTAAATTTTTAAGGGGGAGTTTTTTACTCTAAAAGTTTTAGGGAGAATTAACACACAGAGTTGACCAGTAAGTAGGACAGATTAAATCCTTATCATTCTGTACAAACATACTTATTGTTTAACCTTAGTTTAGCAATGTGTTCTTATGATATTATATCTGAGATTATGGAAAAACAAAAGGAAATAGTTATTTGTGTAACTAGTGGTGAAAGTGGCACTTTGCTGCACACGAGAGCAATGTTTACGCACGAGCCGCAGGCGAGTGCGGAATGATCTCGAGTGCAGCAAAGGCCTTTTTCACTCGTGTTACACATTATATTTTTCCTACAGTCACTATAAAGCATATAAATAATTAGTCTTTCAAACACTATACAACACGTTTTTAGGTTCAGCTGGCAACACAAATGGTGCCCTAGAGAAAGTAGTACCCGTGGTCCGTATCACTCCGCTATTTTTCCTCGGCAATAAATGTGCTCCGCGTTTTGAGAATATAGTTCCGTATGTTTTTGTAATTTGAAGTGGTTTCCGCGCCTAAAAAAAAATGCTTTAAAGGTATTTTCTTGTTTATTAAGATCGTAGGAATGTTTTAAAAACGTTTAAAAGAAAAGTCAAGAAAGTTCAGAAATACCGAAACTATAAACACAAAATGACAGGTTAAATCGTAGTTATAATAGTCAATCAGCTGCTCATAGTATTATTATCTTTAGTGTTGCCAACCTATTTCCAAGCGTACGCGGATTACGTGCATAACAGAACCACCCTGTTTTGTGTTGTTTCGTTGGAATCCTGGTGTGCGGCAAAGTATAAACCGTGCGGCAAAGTATAAACCGTACGGCAAAGTATAAATATGCAGCAATTAGCAGATTTCTGTACTATAAACAGTACAAGGAAGCCAACTTTGTCGGGTGACTGTAGGAAAAAGTTTTTTCATCACTCCTCACCGAAAGTAACTATTTTCGATAACAGCTGACATCAATGAAAGTAGCCGTTTCCCAAGCTCTAATTTAGAGCGAGGGAAAATCGATCAGCTGATTTTCCCTCGCTCTAAATTTACTTTCCCTCGCTCTCAAATAGTTTTCCATTTATTCACTATGCGCGCTAGTGTTTTGTTACAGTTTAATTTAATGATTTAAATCAGCTGTATGTATTGTTCAAAGTCGTTTTAATATTTTATTTTGATGTTTGAAGTATTGAGAAATATACGAAGGCTTCCTTTAGAATTTTATTTTTATTTTTATGTTTTAAAAGTCAAACAAAAATGAACATAGGTTTACTTTTAGAATATTTTATTTTATTTTTATGTTTAAACAAATTGTTTGATAGATAATTATTGTAATATTACTGAGGTCTGCTATTCTGTGTTTGTGTATTTTTGCGTCGTGATGAAAAGTATCGTTCATAACTCGTACCGAAAGTTATTATCCGGCACTTGCTCCATTATTTCCGCCCTCGGCTTCGCCTCGCACGTGAAATTGGGGTTCCCTGTGTTCGGCTTCGCCTCACACAAAAACTTAAGCGCGCGCGCTGGAAAATGCCACTTTCGGTCCTAGTAATGAAATATACTATTTAATGGCTTTTGGAATGCATATTCACTACATTGAGAACAAATATATATAAGTAAATACTGTACTAAGCCTAAAGAACTAATTTTTCCAATTTTCTATTGTTTTTGTAAGTATAAAATTGGTATACTAAATTCACAATTCTAAATACCATACAGCTGCTTGTCTATTTATGGTATTTCTGTTGACATTGTAGTGAGGTTGGCAAAATATTGTGATTTAGTTCTTAGTTGACAACAAACGTTGACAATTTGGATACCTTAATTACTACAATTAACTTGTCACATTCATTACTTTGTTCAAGTTCCCTTAAAGGAGTAACACTATGTGCAAGATCGTTTTTAACCAGCATTACCATTATAGGGTTATTCAATCAGATTTTCATTCACAATTTGCAATAAAAATGTATACAAAAATTTAAATGTCTTTATTAAGTGTTTCTCTGGTACACAAGCTTTTCAGAACAAATTTTGTCACTATACCAGATATCTTATTGTAATATTTGGCCGTTACACACTTAGACAATAATTAACAGCTTTTTAAAAACATGTCTTTAAGTTTTTCTAAAAATGTTTTGCTAGATGCAATAACCTTCTGTAACGGGTCAAATGTGTAGGGGGTAAAATAACGGCTAAACCACGAAACTTAAACAGCTGAATGTAAGCTGTTGTTGTGCCCTAGTCGCGACGCTAAACTGACATCGCACCTAACCTCCAATTCCAAGACAGCAGACGACGTTGGTGTCAGTTTGGTTGTTTGGTTGTTCGACTGCGTCTGAGGGCGGGCTACGGGAGAGAATAAGAGCAGCTGATCCACCTTGTGAGCGAGGCAGCTATAAAGCAGGTTAAAGCTGTCATACGCCTGCCTTTGCTGACACGGGACTCAGCTGACTCTGTTTGTGCTGACCAATCAGGAAGCGTTTTAACTTTCGTCTCGATTCTGAGACGAAGGTGAAGGAAGAAGAAGAATTGTGGAGTAGAATTGTCATTCGTAATCCCGGCTTTTCGTAAGTTTGTTTCGTTTTTGGTTCGCTCTCGAAAATTCGTGCAAGTTTAAGTTCGTATCGCAAGCTCTGAAAGCTTAAGTTCGTACGTATTGTTTCGTAGTGAATATTTTGATATAATTTCGTCATCGGGTAAGTTTTGTAACTAACTTACAGATTATTGTATATTATTTGACCAGTTTTCGTGTACTTAACTTGGTTGAACTTGAAGGCTAGGCCTGATTCGCAGACCTAGTCATACGCCTTAACCAACAATTTGAGTAAAGTACTGCAGTTGGTGAAATATATTTTCAATTACGTTTCATAATCCGTCTTGGGACTTTCTTTTTTAATTCTGAAAACCCCTTTTTAAAGTTCCCCAGACGTACCAAAGTCCGTTCCAGCAGACAGGTTTCTGCTGGACAAGTTCTGTCGAAGTTGGTCTAAGTTGAACACGTGAGGAAGTTAAAGTTTTAGTTTTTCGTTTTTGGCTCAAGGAGCAGTTTCACCTTTTTAGTTTCGTTTTTTTTGTTCGTTCCTCACCTGGACCACTTAGGCTAACTTGTTTTCTTATCATTTTAGTAAATTCAGACTCTGTGGGAGTTAGGCTAGGTTAGGCCTATCTTGTACTAACCTTGTTTGTTTCAGGGTGACGACGTAACTCCGTAGGTAAGCGGAGTGCCTACTTAGCTTACTTGTTGATTTGTTAAGTTAGCTAGTAGTGTGTCATTTAGATATTTGCCCACCGAGTCAAGTCAAAATTATTATTTTCCCCACAAGCCCTAGGCTAGAGTGGTGATTTCGAGTAGGGTGTTTAGTAACCCGCAACGTTCGTCTCGAACTCTGACAACCAGGGCTATCAAACTTAGGCTATCCGAATCACTATCGACTCCTGGGAAACTCCCCGCGACCAGACTAGGGCGAATCCTGGGATCCTCGTTTTGTTACCGGTGGCGTAATTTCCCACTCGTCGTCCGCTAGGAAAATTACGTCACATAAATGGCGCCCGAAGCAGTTGGACCAGTGATTGGATAGTCTGATAGTACTTGGTGAGCTCAAGCTAAGATCGCTGTAGCAGCTGACGTCGAGTTGTAAGATTTTAGCCTACGTTAACCGCTCTAGCCTATCAAGTGTTTGCCTAGGCCTACTGTTATTTTTTATTCTACGTTAACGTTCTAGCCTAGCATCTCTAGTTTAGTAGGTAGCTTAGGCCTACATATTTTCTAGTTTCGTCGTTGTAGCCTATTGCTAGCCTAAGCCTATTGGTGTTTAGC